ATAACAGTTAGGCAATGGTTGCTATTTTCGTGTAGATTGGATGGGACGGTAAATGGGTTATGCGTGTATTCTTTGTGATTTTTGTGGGTTTTGCACCTGAGGATCTTCTTCCTAGTTCAGTTTTGTGATTCGGTCTGTGAGGATTTCATTTGGCTCCTTGATCCTTTTTTTGCAGGTTTTGTGAACTCCATCTGAAGAGGGAGTTCGAGTACAATTTCAATATAGGCATAGCCGATACAATTTTCTTGTTTTCTCTGGTACTTCATCATTGTTAGCCAAATTCAGAACCCCATATAGCGTGACTAAATACATGATAGTTTTATAATACCTTACTAGCAAGAGGCCCATGCGTTGCACGGAACATTAAGATGCATTTATACGAGTTGTTTATCCTGTGGGAGACAAAGATGTACGAGAGAAGGCCTTATCTGTAAATGTGGAGAGGGGTGCGGGTATCTTTTTACAAAATTGCCCTAGCTTGTTTTCTATCCGTCAGATAATCGAAAGGTCTATATTGTAGGATGACAGGCACACCATTATCATCAACTCGGTTTTTTTTTGTAAGAGTAGAGAATAGTAAGGGTGTGACTAGGTCTCAGTCGACTGGGATTTAAACAAGTCTTGGTCAACTGACATAACATGCAAAAAAGAAGAAAAACTAAAAGGAAAATTTTGCTCTGATCTCAATGTAAGATCTCACAGAGATAATACCGACTGAAACATAGCAAGACTGTAATAGTAATCTCTCCACCCAACTATATATAGGGCAATATACACCACAATATATATGTCCATGTGAATCTTGTTTTGGAGTGGAACCGAATTGTGTGAGTTGTGTTGACGAAGGAGTGATTTACCTCGAGGGTGTTTGTGACGGAGTTGACGATGGTGGGGAGGCCGCGGTTGCCGACGCGCACCTCGGCCTCGACCTCCAGCTTCTCGAACCGCACCTCAATGGTGGGGTAGTCGATGCCGACCCTGTCCATGCGCTCCTTGAGCCTGAGGAGGAAGTTCTCGTGGTCGTCGTCGGCGGCGCGAACGAGCCGCTCGATGAGCGCCCGGCTCTCGTGGGCGCCCAGCCGGGCCACGTCCACGTCCACCTTCTCCCCGCCCTCCTCCACCATGAGGATCCCGCGCCGCACGCGGTCGTACGTCGGCAGCCGCTCCAGGGCCGCCCACCGCAGCGCCTCCTCGTCGTCCTCCTCGTCGTGGAACCGCGACGACGTCCGGGAGAAGACGTCGTCGCCGCGACGCCATAGCGAGCTGTCCCGCTGCAGGCTCGCCACCCGGTGGATCTCTCGACTCATCCTCGCCTACGTACTTACTACTTATACTTACTCAGACACCACCAACATGTATCTTCTTCCTCCGTTGATCACTGTCTGCACCGACTTGGCTAGATTGATCTGTTGTGCAGCTCCTCCTTGCCTCGCGACAGGGGACTGGTTTGTCTCGAGCAAGCGAAGGCATCTGTATATAACTATATATACGCCCAAGAGAAGGAATGGTTGAAGCTGGTGAGGAGGAAGACCACACCCCATTCTCGAGTTTGATTTCACCTCACCTACCATGAGTGAGTCCTTGACCCTGTCGCACTTTGCACCGGTGCGGTGAACTGTGCGAGCTTGGACCCGGCACGGGATGTTTTCAAGGGGACACACCATGGAAATGTGCATCCCCGGCATAAACTAATTAAGCTTTCGAGCTAGCTCTGCATTTTTCTCGCACGTGCCTAGACTTGAAGCTTCCTGGCATGCGTCCGTCAAGGCGGGCAGGCTAGCTGAAGATAGCTTACCACATGTCCAGGCCGTGTTGTTGCCGTAGTAGGTTCGGTTTGCCCGGATACGAAGGGAGCCACTTGCAGATGCAGATACTTACTATAATCTCTAGATACTTACTATAATCTCTGATTGCTAATCAGTGATTACTTTGGGGTGTGACCGCGCGTGGCCACACACTGTAATATGGGCCAATAGCTCCTATGCGACACATTTGAAGTGAATTGGCAAGAGTGCGACGTTGTTCGAGGGAATGGCTATGGTGCGATAATTTTGAGCAGGTAAATAGCCCACGCACGACATGGCTGTTAAATGTGGTTAAATTGGTCGTCAGCCAAGCCCGCCCGTTTATGTTAGGACATGTGGGTCCAACTTAATTGTTCGTCAAAACAGCTGACCGTGCCCTGCCGCCCGACCGTGCCGGGCCCGCCACTCTGCCCCTCTTCTTCTCCGGTGGCGGCGGATCTTGCGTTCTCGGTGGCGACGGCGGAGCCCTCGTTCTCAACGGCGGCGGAGCCTTCGTCCTCAGAAAATGGTGAGTGAATTCAAACCCTAGTCGCCCTCCCGTTCCTCTCTCGGACCCATAGATCTCAGCTCGTTTCCTCTGTTTTCTCTTGCGGAATCGATAGGTTGTGAGGGGAGCCCGTGAGCATACTGAGATGGAGCCGCCAGATTCAACTTCGAATAGGTAATGCGCCTCTCCCTGATCCAATTTTGCATGCAATTAGGGGGTGGCCTCGTCTGGTTTCCCCCCTTTTTCTCACGGGCTCACACTGTCCGCCACTGACAGAGGGGATGCTGCCGCTCGGACCTTCGAATTGACAGTTAATTTCTTTCCATCAAAGGCAAAATTAGTTGATGGTAGCATACAGAACATTGAGAGAGATACAATTGTTAAATGGGAGGTTGAGTTTACAGAGATTGATCCACAAGTTCTACAGAACATGGGAGAGACGGCAGTGAAGAGATGGGTGGAAAAAATTGGGGAGAATGTTGTTTGGGGTCCAGAGCAAGAAGTATCACTGTTGAGGTTTGATGATTGGAAAGGATAGTATGTGAGAATAGAAGATGGTGAACAGATTGTTGAAGAAATCGATCGGCAAAACGGCTGGACAAGCAAACGGGCTAATTTTTTTGCTGAGCTCGTTGATCTGAACATTTTTTCGAAGGTTGGATATGTGCCATCACAATTGGCTGCGCATATGGTAGATGATGATTGGGCTACACAGAGGCCATTGATTCCCATGTGTACTGAACTTACAGTAATAGCCGAAGAGGGACAGGTGACTGGAACTGAAACTGAAACTGCAACAACTGTTGATTGGAATGTAGTTGAATTAGATGAGCCTACTGATTTGGTCATTGCACCAATGCCTGACATTGAGATGGCCAAACTTTTTGGCATTCCAGTCAATGACAGAGATAAGCAGGAAAGGGGTGAATCTAGTTTGCCTGCTAATGCTGATGAAGAAGTAGATGGACAGTTGATGGAACAAGCTGCAGATGAAGTAGATGATGCACATGATGATGAGCTGGTGCATGTGTATGACAAAGAAAACCATGTCATTGAAGTAGGTAAGTTGTTCCCAAGCATGAAGGAGTTTAGAATGTGTTTCAAGACTTATGCAGTGAAACATGAGTTTGATGTCAAGACTGTTTAGACTGATAGAAAGAAGTTTTATGCGAGGTGCAGAGGATTTGATGGTAGTGTGAAGCCTGGCAAGTGGTACATATCTGCTAGACTGCAACCTGATGGAAGTACTGTCAGGGTTAACCAAATCCCCAATCAACATACTTGTATTACAAGTTCACAGAGAGTATCAACCATGACATCACAACTTTGGGTTGCAGAAAAGATCACCCCAATTTTAGCCAAAACACCAAACACTACTGCGAAGAAACTCAAAGTAGACTTCAAAAAGATGTACCCCATTAAACTGAAATATACCACAGTGTGGAAGGCAAAACAAAGGGCAATGAAAAATTTATATGGTGATTGGACAAATACATTTAGGATGCTTTACAACTTCAAAGCAGAGGTGGAAAAGAGGTCACCTGGCAGTGTTGTGGAGATAGATACAGAGGTATCAGCCAAAGGTGAAGTCAAGTTCTCCAAGTTTTTTATGGCTTTGAAGCCTTGCATTGATGGGTTCAAAGCAGGGTGCCGCCCATATTTGAGCATAAACTCATCATTTTTGACAGGCAAGTGGAATGATCAGTTGGCAACATGCAATGCTCTAGATGGACACAATTGGATGTTTCCTATTGCTGTTGGCTTGTTTCAGTCAGAAGCAGAGGCTTCATGGACATGGTTCATGATCCAGTTGAAAAGATGCCTAGGGCCAGTGTCACCTTTGGCTATACACACAGATGCATGTAAGGGGCTTGAAAATTCAGTGAAAAATGTTTTCCCACATGCTGAGTAGAGGGAGTGCTTCGGTCATTTGTGGATGAATTTGATCAAAAAATTTAGAGGAGAAGAATTTGGGCGCATGTGGCCAGCAACAAGATCTTACACTAGACGGACACACAAATATCATTTGATAAGATAATGGCAGCATGTGATGAGTTTGGTCCATGGCTGAACACCTACCATTCTTTGTTATGGTACAGGTCAGCATTCAACACTGCCATCAAGTGTGACCACATCAACAAAAATTTGGCAGAGAGTTTCAACAACAAGGTGAAGGAGTTAAAAGATTTGCCTGTGCATGACATGGTTGACCAAATCAGGATCATGCTCATGCGGTTGTGGGAATTGAGAAGAAGGATAGGTGATTGTCTGCAAGGTGATAAGCTTCCAGCAGTGGTACAACAGGTGGTCAATAGGAGCAGATGTCTTTCACATTTGTTTGTTGAAAAATCTTCACCTTGGGGTGCTGAAGTTAGAGATAACAAAACTGGAAGGAGACATGTTGTTAACACTGAATTGCATGATTGCACTTGCCTCGAGTGGCAACACATTGATAAACCATGTGAGCATGCCATTCTCTTCTTAGCATCCCAACCGAAGATAAACATGTACCCATATTTGCATGAATATTATTCGGTAGCAAGATTCAAAACTGCATATGCTACTCCAATTCCAGCACTTACAGATCAGTCTCAGTGGCCTGAAGTGGACATTGTATTTTCCATGTGTCCTCCCTTGACGAAAAGAAAGGTTGGTAGGCCTAAACAGAGTAGATTCAAGGCATGGTTTGAGAAAGGTGGGAGTAGTAAGAAGGGCCCAAAAAGGTAACAAAAACAGATGCAAGTTGTGCCAGGAACTTGGGCACAGAGTGGGATCTGTCAAATGCCGTTACACTTCTGATAAGCCAAAGTATGTTCTTGTTTATTTGTCTATGTTTCGATTTGGTGCTTTTTTCCAATTACTATATCTATAACATTTTCCCAATGTCCAGGAGGAAGCGAGCAAGTCAGCCCCTTGTTGTTGAACAGTGTTGGCCAACAAAAAAAGCAAGAGTCAATGGCGGTAGAAAGAAGAGAAGTGTGCCTCAGCCTGAGTAGAGTGAAGAAAATCCTGCTGCAGTCAACATTCAGACTGAAGAAACTGCTCTCGAGGTTGAAACTGAACCTGAGCGTGTCGAGGTTCAGACTGAAGAAACTGCTCTCGAGGTTGAAACTGAACCTGAGCGTGTCGAGGTTCAGACTGAAGAAACCCATGTTGAGGTACACACCGAAGAAACTGAAACTGCTGTCAACATTGAGACTGAAGACACTGATCACGAGGGTGTTGGTGAGGTGTTGAAAAGACCAGTGAAAAAAAATCAAGATGATCAGTGAACTTGTGTGTGTAGTTGAACCAAAAATAAGAAGTGCTAAGGCGAAGAAGGGCACGCTACGCGGTAGGAAGAGGTAGAACAGAGAACAGTTTGGAAATTTGGGGCATGTAATAATATTTGTAACTTGGTGCATACTGGTAGTCACTATGTATCCCGTATTTCTATTCGAACTTGTTTGTTGGTACCTTGTCTAAACCAGCCAAATAAAATTCAAATTTAAATTCAAATTTGGGCTCAAATTTGAATTAGGGATGGGGTATTGATGTTTTAATGCTATCTAAAGTATCTCAACTGAAATATGTTTGTTTGCTGATCATTCCGAGCCCTTTTGGTAAGTTGAACTCATAGTCATGAAAAGTGTGTCTCAAATGACCTCCAAAGGTAGGGTAAACGGCCTCATATTTAAGCAAGTTTTTTTGCACCTTGTCTAAACCAGACAAATAATTTTTCTACACATCTATTCTACCTATATAGTGTAAATCTAAAGTCTCACTATTTATTGAATTAATTTTCTATTATTTTCTTTTTTTTGGAAAAACAAGGTTTAATAGAAAATTATATATAAAACAAGTTTAAAACATGAAAATGAGAAAAGTAAGTTAAGATCTTTCTTAGTCAATCCAAAATGAAGTTTTGGTGAGGTTTTCACACTTTTCATTTTCAAAACCCCACCTATACTCTCGGGTGCCCACTACTCTCTTCTTTGAACTCCATACTACATTGTTCGAGGAATGACAATTTTGT